ATTTTTGAGGTTATGATCAATGAAAGCTTGCAATCTTCATCAAATTTTATTATTATTGTGCCAGTAAATCCAAATTATACCAGCTAAGGTGCAAGAATGAATGATTTTTGTGTAACATAACCTAGAAAACTGCAAAAAAACAATTCTTTTCCTTCAAATATTGCGTTAATTTCTTGTGAAAGTGACTACAAATCACACTGATTTGTACACCGCTTCTGATCTTTCTGGGCATATTTAATCTTCAATCTGCCCTCGGCGCAGCTCTGGCTGCCCGCGGATCCATCAGATGGAGCGACACGAGTCGTGAAATGGCCCATGAGAAACACCTTCGGAGGCAGGGCGCATCCTTAACGGGATGTGCACCTAATGAGCGATAATGAATGCGTTTGCACACACCAAATGAATTATGGCAGTCAACATGTGGATGGTACTAATTTAAATCAACTTAGATTCGTCATCAAAACCGTGGCTTTGCTCTTGTTTCTTCCGACGCCCATAAATTTTCCCTCTCGCGTCGTGAGTCGCCAAGTTCTCCTTTGGGAGGGGGGGGGGGGGCAGGGTTTCTGGGGGGCGGCAGATGTTGCGAGCACTCAATTAAGGGGCACTTCTTAGGGGCACCAGCAAATCTGTCCTGGCAATATTGATCCTGCGCGCGAGTCTTTGGGTGTGCTTTTAATGAAATAATTGGCGAGTGGTTTGCACTAATGAAATAATTGACGGGCACGGGAATTTCGAGCCATCAGCTGCATGTCCGCACTGGCATAGAGAGCGAGATCTCTCTTGCAGATACGCGATTCTGATTGTGTTGTTCTCCACCCGTTCGTCATTCGTCATTCGCTCATCTCGTGTGTGCCCATTTTCGCGCCATCCGACGCGATTCACTGTGGCAGGGATCGATGTTTTCATTAAAAACGATTAGGAAATCACATCAATTTGCTCAACCCTCTTCACTCTTGCAATCTGCACTCTGTGCAAATGCAGCTTCCCTCCCACAACACCACAGAGTCTTGTCACTCAAAATCCATCCGGCAATTCCATGGGATTATCGAAGGAATTTCCCTCCTCGCCACTCATCAATTCCCAATATTATATACACCAGAGATGTGTGCTGAGCCCTCCCCAAAGAGAGGTGGAGTATTGCGAGAGGAAGAGAGAAAAAAAACAGCCACAATACAAAATTGCCGATGGAGCAATTATCGTGAATTGCTACCTCCATCTCTTTGGCGAATCATTTTTTCTTCATTATCATCAAAATTGCACTCATTCGTCCAAGAGCAATTTGCATATCAAATGCGATATATACTGTATGGCGTCCCAAGAACACACACTCCGCATTAGACTTTGCCATATGTAAATTGCTGTTTTGTGCTTGGTTGCGGAGAAATTCCTGCCCAAGAGTCACGCCGCTGTGTGTCATTAAATTCACTCACAAGAGCGAAACTTTCCCGCCAAAATGTGAGGAATTATGCAGTGGAGGATGAAAAAATACCCCCCCAAAAGGGGAGTGTGCTGACTCGGCAATTGATGATCTCGCACATTGGTGATGAAGGGGGCATAATTCAATATTCACATGATGGATATGCATTGAGTGAATACTGTGCGCAATAGGCTATTGTTGAGCTGACTTCTTGCGCTACTCTGCAATTTCTACAGTGCAATTTCCACTTCAACAATTGAATTGAGAGCAATGAAGAGTCAAAACCGTAAATTCTCGGCTATATAGCTTTGAAATTTGCCAAATTTACGCTAAAACACCTTCAAATCGTCCGTTAAAGTGCTAATATTGCTCTATAATAATTATTCTCTGTATTTTTCAATTGTTTTTATTGGTGTTTATTGAAAGTTTTGATTGAAATACAGCAAATTGAATTGAAAAACCGAAAATATTGCTTCCCAAAGCTGTTTTTTAACAGTTTTTGAGTACATTTAAACTGTACAATCAATTATTTCATACTTTACACAAACTTTTCTTTAAAGTTTTCTAGTCAAAAACAATTTAAAAATATGAGAAATATTTATTTATAGTCTAAAAACACTTCAGGATAATTCTGAAAACCTTAAAATACTTCTCAAAGAGACGTTTTATGCCTTTGACTGCAGTTTGAGACAATTTTCTTGGCAAAAATGTACGACAAAATGTATGAAAAATGGGCTTTTCATCATTTTCTATTCAACCCTTTCGAATTGAATATTAATTCATGTTCGCAATCAAATACGCCACTTGCACTTCCCATGGGCGATTATGGGTTTTTAAGTTGTTTTCACCACGCATCGTCAATGACGAAACAGTTGTCAACGAAGGGCGGATTCTTCAGCTGGAATAGCTCCACAGTGTCCTTTCTGCAAATGTCCACAGGACACAGCATTTATGGCTGACTGACATGACATGACAATTGTTGTATTGCATATTCTCCGTCCAAACGCAAACCATACAATTTTCTCCAATTGCAAATGTGCGGCTTTTCCCTTCGCGCTGCCGGATTATTAATTATTGACATATTACCGTCCGTTCGTCTCGCATAAGAACGGGAAAAGCCAAAATTGATGTTTCAATTACCGACAGAGAGAAAATATCCTCTGTGTGGCAGCGACTTTTGTCACCGAAGCGATAATTGATTGCAATTTATAGAGACAATTTATTTTAATTACACCTTACATTTCATAATTCCGTGGCGGCGGTTGCATTGAGCGCAAAAGTGAAGTGAAGAATTCTGTTTCTTGCACCATTTGAAAAATCTTAAGTATCCAACCGTGTGTCTCGTCTCCATCCAACATTTACGGCAATAATCGTGTTTTATTGCTTGGGTTATTAATGTAAACATTTCAGGTATTTTACGACACTCATATATCATTATCATCGAAAAATTTACATTGTTTGATCGAGATCGTGCCATGCTGATTATTTTATTAATAGAGACGTGATTTTATTATTTTTGCTCTCCTTTTCTTATCCTCACCGATAATGTGCAAGACGCAAGACGATCAGTGAAGCCAAAGGAGAAACACAAAATAATTATAAACATTCTCAAATTAGTTTGTGATCGTTAAACAGCCATTTAAATATCTATAAAATGGGTTTGTTTTTTTCTCGTGAGCAAAATTGCCTTTTTCTACCCATCAAAATCCTGAGGAAATTGTGACTTTCCTGGGAAATCTGACAGCTTCTTTCGTCGGGAAAACATGTCCGCATTTTTCTTTTTTGGTTTTTTTCTCAATTTGACGCTAGAAGTGGAGAATATTGGAATTTTGAGTGGCTCAAGATCAAGTTAATCCCTTAATTTATTGTCTTGTGCGCTTGAAGATGAGTGTCTGTGTGTGGTGCTGAAGAGCCTAACTCGTCTCGTTGTTGATGTTGTATTTTTTTTCTTATCCAATTCATCCGCAAAACATCCCAAAGCGAAAAGAGCCCACGAGACAGTGAGGAAGAATGAGAGGCGAAAGAGAGAGACTTTAATACTCCCCAAGTCAAATGGCCTCATAAAATTTAATATTTTTTCTCCTGTATGTCATTTACATATTTTTAGCATATTGTCAATGTATATGTTGTATTTTGAGCGACAATATAATAAAACAAGAATATGATACGATGCAAGGAATTAAAATAAATAAAATGAGCGAATAAAAATAACAATTTTCGGTGACTCGATGTCGCGCGTTGCGTGTTCAAATTGAATATTTCGCCCAAGCCATCAACGCTCGTCTTCCAACGCCGGGGAGATTCCTTTTTCCCCTTTTCCCCAATGCTCAGGAGGTGCACCTCTGAGAGCCCCGGAGGTTCATGTCACTCCATGGACATTGCATTCTATTAAATGGCACCTAATTACCATTCTGGACGCATTTCTGACGATTCCACCTCACCGCGAGAATCTCCGTTGCGCGCGGGATAAAGTGCAAAAAAGCCTCTTTCCCTCTCTCCCTCTCTCCCTCTCTCCTTCTCTCCCTGTGCAAATAAGCCACACACACAAAAGTCCCATACAGGCCTGAATATGAAATTCAAAAGGCCGCGATAGTGCCATTTGTGCCAAAGATACAGCTATTAGTGCACTCTTGCCTCCCTTTTCATAGCATCTCACCCAAGTCAAGTTGAGATATCAACTTGCTTTGTGACCATGTCAGACGGTGTCTCCTTCCTCGTGAGAGGCATTTTGCACAAACAAAACACCCACAAGGCGGGATTCTTGCTGTTCCGCCGCGCCTCGCACTGCCACCGGAGTGCAGAGATTGTCTAGGAGAGACGCAGAACAAGCACTATTTGTGACGCAGTCTTATCTCCACATATACCTTCCCCATTGTGCCAAGGCACACACAAATTCCAATATTGTTCCTCAGCTCTCTTGTGCGCACAGGTCTCAGGTTGACGACAGAGTTGAGACGGTGCAAGCGATCAGGGAGGAGAGATTGGAGTTTGCCGGCAAGAAAGCGCTTGTTCAGGACGCTTATCGAATGCTTTACTTACAAACTTAGGCGCTTTACACGCCGAGAGAATACTTAGGCAGCAATGGCAAAATATCCGTGAATTCACGCACGTGAAATCATGATTACGATCACGATGTGAGTAAAGTGGCATTGAGAGCCAATCCTTCTCCATTAGAAGACATATTCAATTGGCAGTTGACAGAACGTGAAAGACAATTCAAGTGAAGTGTATGTTTCAGTTGGAACATTCAACAGTAACTGTTTAGCACACGTTTTGCAATCGGTGGGATTCAATCACACAATTGTAGCAACGAGAATCATATGTCTAGACCCAAAACCGTAAGGTTTTGCCCCGAATACAAACCTTTTTGACCCAATTTACCGATTTAACCTCTGTCTCTGATGTAATTCAGTCAGGTTTAACCGCAAAGATTCCTCCTCAAGTTTGTTAGATGAACAGATTTGCCCTCTCGCGTCCCTGTTGTGTGTCTGTTGGTGAATTGGTGTGCTTGTGCGATGTTTGCTTGTTGTAAACGGATAATGTTATATATATATATTTTTCTCTTTATCCAACTCTCTTCCAGGTTCACGAATTATGCGATAATTTCTGTCACCGATACATCTCTTGTCTAAAGGGTAAAATGCCAATAGATTTAGTGATTGACGAACGGGACACCACCAAACCACCAGAATTAAGTGGTTCTGCGAATGGGGAGGGTCGCAGCAATGCCGATTCGACATCGCACACCGATGGAGCAAGTACACCAGACGTTGTGAGTACCCCCTTCGCGGGAGCACATGGTCCTTTGCTGGCGAGCTACAATGCGGTGGTGCACCCATGTTCGTAGTACGATCACGACCTTCTTGCAAAAACGAAGCGGGTGCTCACAATGCCCTGGGATAGTCGTCAAAACTTCGCTTAAAAAAAAACAAATTGCAATGCTCGAAATAAGAAAAAAAAATGTAGAAGAAACTGAAAGAAAAAAAAATGCCCAAGATACACTTAAGAAGACCTGTGTAGTCTTGAAGCAGGAAAGAATGAAAAAATGTGAGAAAGCAAGAGCTAATTGAGATGAAGGCAAGATGTGAGAACTGAAGACAAATCCAATTGCCAAGATGAGACGCGCGAAGTGTAAATAAGCAATTTTCCAATGAAATGCAATTGATGAGAAAAAGTATCTAGTTTAGATGAAGCCATGGCATAATTGCAAGTATAATCTACTAAAGCGAAAACTCTTGTCGCACGTTAGCACGAGGCTCCAAAATCCCCATTTGCCTGGAGATCCACTCACGACGCTCTTCCCGGTAAGTCGCACCGCACCAGCTCACCCACTGCTGGCCATCTGTTGGCGGGTAGCCTGGGTGAGTGGATCAACATTTCACCTTCCAGTGTGATGAGAGGCGCAGTGTGAAGGCGGTCAAACGACGACAGCTCGCGAAAGTCCCTTTGCGCGATCCTGTGGATGATGTTTACCGTGGAAAAGAGTCGTGATTGATAGAGAGAGAGAGAGAGAGAGGGAGATTTTGGAGACCTCGGCGGATTTACGTGTGACAACAAGTTTTGGATACGAGAGAAAAGTAACTATTAGTTGTAACGTAAAAAAAAGCAAAGAATTCTGATAAAAAAAACAAAAAAAACTTTTGTATGCAAAAAAAAACTCTTCAACATAGCCGAGAGAGCATAAAAGATGAGAGATCAGAGCAAATTATCCACTAATTTATCTCGTAAAATTGCGAAAGCTGAAAAGTTAAGTTTGAAAGAAAAAAAATAATAACACACACAGAGAGAAAAAAAAGGAAATGAGTGAAAACTTCGTTTTTGCAAGACGCCCATATAGCTCGCCAACAAAACCCGACAAATGATTTGGTAACAGTGCATAGTCATTAAATTTATCTCCTTCAAATCTATTGTTTTCCACAACACACATTCAACACACATTTTTCACCCACTCAACGCTTGATTTTTCTTGTGTGCATCAACTTTTTTTTGGTTTTTTTTTGTTCAATTGTTGCTGGAAAAAATACAAAATTTGTATTTTTTTTTCCACAGTCGCTAATTAATATTCCTTTCACGAGCATAAATTTAATTAACGATATCGATGATTTATCATATCTCGTACTTTCATTGTTGCGTTGAAATTTATGAGACATCGTCGCTCACTATTAATTTTTTTGTTTCCACTCATCACTTCCATACGAGAAGCATATTTTTCCCTCCTTCGCCACCCCCCTTCGGCCCCCCTTGACCGCCAATGTTCAACAGCAATACAGGCACAAATGCTAATTAAATTAAGAGTCAGAATCAGCATCTGCAGAAACCGTGAATCGTTTATTTTGTATATTTTATTTGGCCTATGTTTTTCCTCCTAATATTTTTCATTAATTACGTTTCAATTGCCGTGACGCCTAATTAATTTGCGACTGTGCGTTGTGTTCTTTTCATCACCATTTGTGCGCGAAGGAGGTGAAAAGTAGAGTTTTTTTTTAATTCACGTAGCATAATTTTTTGCAAAGTGTTGAGTTGTGGCGTGACGACAGGGGGAGCCACTGCAGGAAGTGTGTGTGTGTGCAGCAACGGAGTGGAAAAGTGACCCACTGTTACCAAATTCTTTGTCACTTTGTTGCATGTTGTATAGATTTTTGTACATTTTATTTATGATAACTTTTGATGACATTTCTGCAAGAGATTGAAACTACGCAAAACCTATCTCTGCAGCGCCCCCTTTTGACAGTTCTCAGAACATCTGAGACGCTAATCCTGGTTTCTGACACATAGATCACTGTGCAGGTCTTAAACCTGTCAAAAACGAAAAAAACCCCTTTACGGATTTGACATAGAAATCCCCAGATTTTCTCCACTTTCTTGACTCTACAGCATTTTAGCGAAAGATATCTTAATTGTATAGAAAGGAATACTTAACTCTTAATCTAATCGTAAACAAGATTAAATTATTCTCTTTAGATGGACTTTTAGGGTTTTACTAACATGTGAAAGTAAGGACATTGAAATCCAGAAACGATATACGTAATCTATGACTGATATGAAATATCTTCCCGATTTGGGGGGAAGATTGTGGCACGATTATGATACACAAAAAAACTACTTTAGAAATCAAGTATACGACTACCAATAGTGAATTCTGCGTGAGTTTCTTCACACTAACCTTGTCTTTGAATGTATAACTTCTCCTGTGAATTGCTCCCAGTGATTCAGCATTTGCGTTATTGGTTTTGCCGAATTGGCACCAAAAACATATTCCATCACAAATTGGAGGGACTTTTGAATGAGAATATTGGGAGGAGGGAAAGGACTCTGAGGGTGGACTTAGGATCATACTGAAGTATGATCTTGAACAGTATCAAAGTCTCTGGACTTTGAAGACGCTGAACATCTTAATGCAAAATTACACTCAATGAAAGCAAACAAAGCCCACTTTTGAGCCAATATCTCTCACTCTCTCACTCTCTCTCTCTCTCTGTGCACGGAAAACTGTTTTGAGAATAAAGCGTGAGTTTGTAGGAAAAGAAGAAGAAGAAGACGATGGCAAAATTTCTTTTCGGCCTTTTTGAGCGCAACAGAAATAGCAAAGAAAGAAGTTTGTAGGCATTAACCAAAAATATTCATGTATAAATTTGCAATTACTGTCTCATTTGTGTCTTTTGTGTTGTTGACTTCACTTTTATTTCCCGACCGAGACGAAAAGAAGAAGAAGTGTATGAGGATTAAGTGTATTGAAGGAGGGAAGCGGAATAAATAGAGGATTATATTTTTCTATATTTAAAGAAAACCTTAAGGCATGGAAATAGTGGCGAAGCATTTAGATGTTGATTGAGTTTCTTTTCTCCCCAAAAAAAAACGAAGAAGAAGAAGAAGAAAGAAGGTTAAAAGACGATGCAATGTGGAGGAATATAAAGACACGGTTCTCATTGAGATTGGGGATGAAGAAAAAACAACCCTTTTGACAGTGAAATAATTGAGAAGAAAAGTTCGATAAAACGACACACTGTGGAATTCATAGTTCAAAATGCAAGTATACGAAGAAACGAGAGTAATGTAATGATGTAAATGTTAATTGCAATCAACCTAAAGTATTTAATATTTAAGAAAGAAAAGGTATATAGCCAGATGAAAAGATAATTTACCGGCAGAGTTCGCTTGACTGTAAAAAACACAGCTATATGGGCATATTTCTATTGTGTTACTCTTTTTTTTCTTCATTATAAAATGCTATATATATATATACATATTCCCCCTTTTTTCTGCAAACCGAAAGTGTTTATTGAGAGGAATCCACTTGAGAAAAGCACTCGTCACTAATGTTAAGGGAATTATTGAAGGAAAAAAAAGAAGGAACACAACCACAATGATGAGTATACAATAATTAAAAGTCAATTTTTCGTATAGTGAGTTGGATGAAGAGTTGAGAAAAAGAAAAAAAGAAAACGATGAAGAGACGACGATGGCATGAAAAGGCACACATGAAGAGATTGACTTTTCAATATTTTAATTAGAAAACACTTTAATGCAAGAAAACATACAATTTGTGATTAAATGAAACTGATATGAAAAAATTTGATGGTAAAAAAAAATATGGAATCAAGATACGTAAATGTTGCTTCGAAAAGTGTAAATAGGACTTTCTTTTCCCATTTTCTATTCTATTATTTTTTTCCTTTTTGGCGATCTTCGTGATCGATAAATTTGAGGAGAAAAAAAAGGATTTTTTGAGCTTTATGCTGATCTATTGATGACGTGTTGTTCACTGTACAGTATTATATAAAATGATGGCAAAAGAAGAAGAAAAAATATGATGAGGAAGAAGGAAAAACTCTAAACAACCTATTGAGAAGATGGAGAATTACAATAAATAAATTAATAATGGATGATGATGGAAAATTATTAACAATACATTAACGTAATGGAATAATTGCAACAAATATACGTAAACATGCAGTATACTTATTTATATTATTATTCTTATTATTACCTATGATATAGTGACATAATTATTCTAAATAATGTGAAGAGAGAAGAAGAAGAAGAAAAAACACACAAGAATAAGAATAGAGGTGGAGACAATTAAAGAATAAATAAGAAATAATTTTTGTATAAAACAAACTGAATGAAACTTGTGAATAAAATTAATGTAACGAGGAAAATATGAAAAATTTATTATGTATTTAAAATTGTAGAATAACACAACACATCATCAAACACTTTGCATTCACCATAAGGAAAGAAAAAAAAGAAGAAAAAAAAAATGAGAGGAGGAAAGAGGAGATAAGAGAGTATGAAGAAAAAGAGTAACTAAGATTCTAATCTTGCCAACACTCAATTTACTTTATTTAATTTATAATTCTGCGATTGATAAAATTCCCTTTTGTTCTCATAATTGTTTTTCATTTGCTCCACCTTTTTTTTCCTTCTATTGTCTCAAAAAAATTGTGGAATTCTTTTTTTCCATCCTCTATATAATTATATTTGAATTGGTAGCTTTTTTTTTAATTATTTGAATATTATTATTGTCATGAGATGAAGAAGAACGTCTATAATGAAGATTATTAATATAATTTTTTTTGCCTATGATGATTAACTTATATGGAAGATCATTTTGTGATCAAGATTTCTTTTTAACCATGATGAAGAGAAAAAAGGAATAAATGTTTTGTTGTTATAAAATGAAACAGATCTGTGTGTAAATTCGTCTAAATGCGCTCTGAGATTAGTTTCGATCGAAGATCTTCAAAACCAGCACGAAATGGATGAGGAGCC